TCCGGCCCCGACACGTCGAGGACCTCGGGGCGGAGAGCAGAGGTTTCAGGGCTAGGCCGGCAGGTTCATGGATACGTCGGGGGAGGGTTCAGGGTTTAGGGTTTAGGGTTTAGGGTTTAGGGTTTAGGGTTTAGGGTTTAGGGTTTAGGGTTTAGGGTTTAGGGTGTAGGGTTTAGGGTTTAGCGTTTAGGGTTTAGGGTTTAGGGTTTAGGGTTTAGGGTTTAGGGTTTAGGGTTTAGGGTTTAGGGTTTAGGGTTTAGGGTTTAGGGTTTAGGGTTTAGGAGTTGGTGTTTAGGGTTCTTTATGTAAGTAGAGTTATAGCCATGGTAGTACTATCCTACTTAACAAGCCCAGTCTCAGCCATGCATCTCCACTTAGGGCTTGGGATGTTGAGGCAGAAGTCACAGTGCTTGCCTTTCTGCTGGCTTAAGGTTGGGGAACAATACAATACAGTACCAGGTTCAACTTGACTCCTGCAGCCCTAAACACTACAATGCCCCAGAACCAACCTGTACCCCGCCCAAAAGCCTATCAGAAGATCAGAGGCATGCGGATCTCCCTGAACCCTAAACCTTAAACCCTCAAGGCCAGGCTAAACCTAAACCCTAAACCCTAAACCCTTTGTTCAAGTAAGCTGGCACTGCACCAAGCCCCATCCTGCCAAAAAGTTCCAACAAGAAAACGAGCTTTCAAGCAAACTGACCCAGAACGTCTTCTGCTGGAGGCCACATGTTCAACATGTTCAATGAAAACATGTCCTTCTGAACTTACAGGGGTGTTTGTCCAAACAAGTGTCGGCACTGCACAAAAATCTCGCCTCCAATAAAGCCAAGTAGGCTAAACCCTAAACCCTAAACCCCAAACCCTAAACCCTAAACACCCCCAAAGGGCCCCCAAAAGGTCCCGAAAAAGGACCTGGGGACCTCCAAAAGATCTCAAAAAAGCCCAAAAAGGCCCAAACCCTCCTTTCCGGGCCCCCCCCCCCCCCCGGGCCCCCCCCCCCCCCCCCCAAGACAAAAAACAGAGTACGAACCTAAGTTCGGGAACAAAAAAAAAAAGGTCACACCCTAAACCCTAAACCCTAAACCCTAAACCCTATATTCAAGTTCTATCCACCTTTGCTGCGCGACCTGGCTCAGGAGCAGCCCCACGAAGTCGATGACAAGACGCCAAATCTCCTTAGCCGTCGCCCTATGGCTCTTTAGGGTTTAGGGTTTAGGGTTATGGGGTTTAGGGTTTAGGGTTTAGGGTTTAGGGTTTAGGGTTTAGGGTCTAGGGTCTAGGGTCTAGGGTTGAGGGTTAGGGTTTAGGGTTTAGGGTTTAGGGTTTGCTGCTTTAAAGGCATTAGGGGCTCTGAGAGATGCTAGGAGGGTTGGCAGGTTTCGGGTTGCTGGGGTTCGCGGCTGTAGCGCAGACCACCACAACACAACCTCGGCGTTGGGCAACGCAAAAACAAGGAGGCCTAAACCCTAAACCCTAAACCCTAAAACCCTTAAACCCTTAAACCCTAAACCCTAAACCCTAACCCAAATCTCCGTGCCATCTCAGCCGCTCCGGGGAGATCAGCAAAGACCTCCACGTTTGAATTGGGGTTCTTAGCGCTACAGCAGTAGCCCCTCAAGGACACCCCATCTCACCACCATAAATGAACCCTCTGTATACATGTGTATATACATATACATGTGTACATTGCATTTGTACCTATACACATAGGAACCCGACCTCGTTTGGTGAGGACTCAGTGCTGAAGAATCAAGAGTTAGGTGAGGGCATGATTTGGGGTATAAGGTTTAGCGTGAGGGCTTCGGGTTCCGGGTTTAGACGGGAAAGCTCGACCCCTCAACCCTAAACCTAACGGAGAGCTTTAGGGTTGGCTAAGAAGCCGTGTTATGAAGAAAAGACCCGTGGGAGGCAAAGTATTCCGCGGGTCCGTGCTGTTCACAAAGCTCGGCCGGAAACCCGAAACCTCGACCCTAAACCTACGACCCTAAATCCCCCCAAAACCCCCCGAAACCCAGAAAACGGACAGACTTGTAGACTTGCAGGTGAGCCCAAAAACCCCTAAACCCCCCCCAACGATGAGCCAAAAACAGGGGGACTGCGCCTTGCGCCGGACCTGCCCCAAGGCCAGCAGCAGCCGCGTGCGTCGCGGCGCAGCGAAGATCCTCCGGAAGGGTTTAGGGTTTAGGGTTTAGGGTTTAGGATTTAGGGTTTAGGATTTAGGGTTTAGGGAGGAGGGTTTAGGGTTTAGGGTCCTTGGTAAGGTTAGGGGGGTTCTACGTTTTGGGTTTAGACTCAGAGTGTTGTCGAGCTTGGTTGAGGTGATCCCTTGCAGAGGGATGAGATTACCCCGCTGAAGCTAGAGGGCGCTGAGAACAAAGCTTTTGTGGGTTCTTGCTCAGCTCAGTAGGGGTTGGGTGCAGGTTTTGGACTCCGAGTGTCAGGCACAGAAAATGGCCCTAAACCCTGAACCTAAACCCGAAACCCTAAACCCTATACC